TGCGCTCGGCCTCATTCTTGATGAGGAATGCCGAGCACGAGTGTTTGACCTCCATCCGGGAAGAACATCCGGGTATGGTCTGCGCTCGGCCTCCCTCTTGATGAGGAATGCCGAGCACGAGTGTTCGACCTTCACCCGGGAAGAACATCCGGGTATGGTCTGCGCTCGGCCTCTCTTGGGGGGAGCGTCGAGCGCGAGTGTGACCTCCATCCGGGAAGAACATCCGGGTATGGTCTGCACTCAGTTTCCCTCTTGAGGAGGAGCGCCGAGCGCGGGTGCTCAAGCAGGTTCTTTTCGCAAAAAACTTCATTCCATCGAGTTCAACCAAAAAGATCTACGGGTTCCCACTTTGGGGTCCGTGTACATAAGAGATCTACTGATAAAACTTAACCAAGTTCTCGGCATTCCATGTCCTGGGCACGTCCCCTCTGCTTGGCGTCTGCAGGCGGAACGTCGAAGGACCCACCGCTTCTTTGATGATATACGGGCCTTCGTAATTTTTGGCAAACTTTCCTCCTTCTAGGGGGCGGCTCACCGTTCTCTTGCGCAATACCCAATCTCCTTCAACGAATCCTCGCGCGCGCACGCGCCCATCATGGTAGCTCTTCACCTTCCTGCGGAAATTTTCTGCCTGAATGAAGGCCGCCTCTCGTCTTTCATGCACGAGGTGGAGCTCGGCTGCCAGGGCTTGCTCATTGCGCTCGGGGTCAAAGACCGCCTCCCGATGGGTTGCGATGGAGATCTCTGCGGGTGCCCTTGCCTCAAATCCGTAGCATAGAGCGAACGGGGTTTCCCCGGTTGCCCTTCGGGGCGTGTTCCATTGTCTGTGATTACGTGTTCGGGAACGCCGAAGCGGCAGATGACTTGCTTCGCGAGAAACTTCTGGCATTGAGCTCCAGTGATGCTCGCCAACGGGGCCGCCTCCACCCACTTGGTGAAGTAGTCGATGGCTACAATGACATATCGCACGTTCCCGGTACCTCTGGGAAGCGCACCTACGAGGTCCACCCCCCACCGCGCGAACGGGATAGCGGTGCTGATGGGGGTATAGTTTGTCGAAGGCCTCCCCGGTACCTTCTGGAACTCTTGGCACACCTTGCACTTTCTCACAAACTCTGCGCAATCCTTAACAATCGTTGGCCAAAAATATCCTTGGAGGGTTATCTTCCTTGATACCGCGTAGGCTCCTTGGTGGGCGGAGCAGATCCCCGCGTGCACCTCCTCCATGACTTGCTCCGCTTCAGCTGGTCGGAGGCACCTGAGCAGCGTACCGTTGTATGCTCGCTTGTATAGCTTTTCACCCTCCAAAGTGTACCCGGGCGCCCTAGTGCGGACCAACTTGGCCTTTACCGCATCGTCCGGGAGGGCTCCATCCTTCAAGAAGGCGACTATGTCGTCCATCCAATCTCTTGGCCGAGCGCAGATCATCCCCACGGGGAAGGCATGGATGCTCGGCTCGGACAATTCTTCCACGTTCGCCATCCGCCTGATATGCTCGGGCGTGTCTGAGCTCAGCTTCGACAAGATATCCGCCTCGGCATTCTCCGCCCGAGGGATCTGCTCCACACTATATGCGGTGAAATTCTTAAGCAACTCTAGAGCGGTATCTCTGTACTTCTTCATTCTTTCGTCCTTCGCCTCGAACTCACCCGAGACGTGGCCAACCACCAGCTTTGAATCACACTTTACCCTTAGCTTTGTTGCGTTCATCCCGGCTGCTAGGCGTAGCCCGCACAGGAGCGCTTCATATTCTGCTTCATTGTTTGATGCCTTGAAACCGAATCGAATTGAGTAGTATGCTCTGAAGCCTTCGGGAGCGATGACTATCACTCCACCCCCCGAGTTTTTGGCGGCGGAGGAGCCGTCGGTAAAAACTATCCACCAGTCATCGCCTTCCGGCTCTTCCGGGCTCGGCTCCTCCCGAGCGGTGCACTCCACCACGAAGTCAGCTAGCGCTTGGCCCTTGATCGCTGGCCTTGGCTTGAATTCGATCTGGAAAGATCCAAGAAACACCGCCCACTTGGACATGCGCGAAGGCGCGTTCGGGCTCCTGAGCAGCGCACCAATGGGCTGTTTGGAGAGCACTTGAACCGGGTGAGCTTGGAAGTAGGGTGCTAGACGCTGCACGGTTGAGACCACGGCGAGGACCGTCTTTTCGGCTACAGAGTATCTGAGCTCGGCACCCCTTAGCGTCTTTGCCGTATAATACACCGGATGCTGAGCTCCACCTTCGTCTCGGACTAGGACCGAGCTCAAAGCTTTGGGTGAAACTCCCAAATATAAGGACAACGTCTCCCCCGATTCGGGCTTCGCGAGAACCGGAGGAGAGAGGAGGTAGGACTTGAGGGATTCAAAGGATTGTTGCATTCTTCCGTCCACACGAACCCTCGGGACTTCTTCACAGCTTGGAAGAACGGAGCGGCTCGGTCTGCTACCTTGGAAAGGAAGCGGCTGAGCGCAGCCAACTTACCGGTCAAGCGCTGCACCTCCTTGACATTTCGTGGAGCTTCCATGTCAAGGATGGCGCGCACCTTCTCAGGGTTGGGCTCAATACCGCGCCTGCTCACCATATGTCCCAAGAATTTGCCGCCTTGAACTCCGAACGTGCACTTCTTCGGAT